GCTGAGAGGCTGGACTGGACTGCGCTTGGGGCAGGTGGCAGCAGTGCTGGGAGAAAGGAACTGGGGGGAGCTATGGTGAATTTTGGGGTGGCAGCAGACCCATCCTCCCATAGCCCCATTCCAGTAGGCTCCCACAGTCAAGGAGGGAGTGTGGCTGTGGCAAGGACAGGTGTTGCCCAGCTGGGGCAGTGTGTGGGACAGGCCCAAGCAGTTCACCCAGAGAGCATGGAGGGTGGCAGCTCCCATTTCTGCATGCATCCCGGGAGGACCTGGTGGGCACATGACCCCAGATGTATGTGCAGGGTGTGGCAGGTTGTGGGCTGTGGCAGGATGGGGCCAGGGCAGCCTGGCGCAGCCCCGCCCCCAGCCCCAGCCTACCCTTGCCCTGTGGGCAGATCCGGGGACACACGCCCCCCATGCCTTCTCAGGGTGTGTGCAGGAGTGGGAGTTGCTACCCCCTGTGCCCTCCGGACGAGTTGCTCGCAGCTTCATCCCGTCTTCCACCCTGCCCGGGCAGCCCTGGCCCTGGCCCCCTCCCTCCCTCACCATGGGGGCCTACAGGAGTGGGGCTACAGAGGTGGGGGCTGCAGCCACTCCATAGTTTCATAGTAGGTAGGGTTGGAACGGACCTGAGCAGATCATCAAGTCCGACCTCTTGCCATGGGCAGGAAAGAATGCTGGGGTCAAATGACCCTGGCAAGGTGTCTATCTAGCCTCCTTTTGAAGATCCCCAGGGTAGAAGTGAGCACCACTTCCCTTGGAAGTTGGTTCCAGATCCTAGCCTCCCTGACTATGAAGTAGTGCATCCTGATATCTAGCCTGAATCTACTCTCTGTCAACTTATGGTTGTTATTCCTTGTTACTCCCAGTAGTGCTTGGGGGAACAGGGACTCTCCCATTGCCTGCTGGTCTCCCTTGGCCAGTTTATAGATGGTCACCAGATCCCCTCTCAGCCTTCTCTTGTGGAGGCTGAATAGGTTCAGATCTCGTAGTCTCTCCTCGTAGGGCCTGCCCTGCTGCCCCTTGATCATGCAAGTGGCCCTCCTCTGGACCCTCTCGATGTTGTCCACATCCCTTCTGAAGTGTGGCACCCAGAACTGCGGCCTGACCAATGTCATATAGAGGAGGAGGATCACCTCTTTGGACCTGCTCATGATGCATCTGTGGATGCTTGACAAGGTGTGATTAGCCTTCCTGACTGCGTCCCCACATTGGCAGCCCATGTTCATCTTGGAGTCTATAATGACTCCAAGATCCTTTTCTGCCTCTGTGCTGACGAAAAGGGACTTCCCCAGCCTGTAGGTATGCTGCTGGTTCTTTCTCCCTAGGTGCAGTACCTTGCACTTGTCAGTATTGAATCCCATTTTATTCTCATCCGCCCACCCCTGTAACCTGTCCAGATCCAATTGCAGCCTGTCCCTCTCTTATAGTGTGCCCACTTCTCCCCACATCTTAGTATCATCTGCAGATTTGAACAAGATGCTTTTCACCCCCTCATCCAAGTCACAGATGAAGATGTTAAACAGTGCGGGGCTGAGGACCGAGCCCTGGGGGACCCCACTGCCCACATCCCTCCAGGTCGAATATGACCCATCCACCACCACTCTCTGGGTGCAGCCCTCCAGCCAATTAGTGACCCATCTGACTGTGTAGGCATCAACACCACAATCTCCTAATTTTTTAACGAGGATGGGGTGAGAGACTGTGTCGAAGGCCTTCCTAAAGTCCAGAAAAACTACGTCTACTGCGACACCTGCGTCCAAGGATTTTGTGACCTGGTCATAGAAGGCCACCAGGTTAGTCTGACAGGACCTGCCTCTAATGAATCTAACAAATCCATATTAGTTGCCCCTAAGCATAATCTCCCCTGCTTGCCCCTCACAGATGTGCACCTGGATAATTTTCTCAAAGAGCTTCCCCAGAACCGAGGTAAGATTAACAGGCCTATAATTTCCTGGGTCCTCCTTCTTCCCTTTTTTTAAATGAATTCCAGAATTCACTGTAGCCCTCCAACCCCTCTTCAAGCACTACTGCTGCCTGCCCTGAGCCCAGCCCAGCCCAGCCCCCCACCGGGAAGGGCACAGTCCCCAGCTTACAGCAGCAGCCCACCTATGGCCTTTTCACAGATCTGGGGGCACATGCCCCCATGCCCTCCCTGGGTGCACGCAGCAGTGAGAATTACCCTTCCCTCCCCACACCCCCGGACAAGCCGCTTGCAGCTTGGTCCTGTGCCCCATCCTGGCTGAGCAGCCACTGCCCCACTCCCTTCCTCACCACGGGCCTTTGATCTGCC